CTGCGGCCGCCACCCCGTAGGAGTTTCTCGTGGAGAGTCGGCAGAGAGCGCCGTGCAGGACCTGGCTCCTGGTGGAGAGCCTATCATTTTTCTTCTCTTTTTTTGAGGAAAAGTGGGTGAAGTAGGGCAGAATAGGCCCCACTTATTCCTGGAAGCCCTCCTGTCTCCTACAGCTCTGGCTGTGTCACCTCCCGGTTCAGAAATAACAACTCTTTGGGTTCAAGATCAAGTGAACTCAACCCTTTGTGACTGCCCCGACCACCTTGTCAGCTTCACCTCACTCTCCTCAAGGCCTCCACTTCTGCCAGAGCTGTTCCCCTTCCTGGAACCCTCACCTCCACCTGCTCATTTTCAAGTATCAGAAGTCCTACCCACTTTTCAAGGCCAATACAGATGCCATCCCTTCTGTAAGGTCTTCTTGGATCATCCACCCCAAAATGACTTTCTGCAGCTTTGTGTTCTGAATGGCATTGGTACTGGCTAGCATTCAGGTTATGCCTCTCCTTGGAAGGTTTCCCCCTCTGCCGGTCAGCTCCTGATGCTAGGGGGCAGTGGCTTGGACTCTGTTCCCACACTGAGCACATAGTCCTGTGTGTGCTTGCAGAATTGAATTTGTGGGTTTCCTGGCCTCCCCCCAGGATACCGCTACGTGATTCTGGATATCCCCCTGCTGTTTGAGACCAAGAAACTGCTCAAGTACATGAAGCACACAGTGGTGGTATACTGGTGAGTGTGTGGCACGGCCTGGCCTGACCGAGGCTGGAAAGGAGGACCCCTGGGGTAAGGCATGTACCTGCAAAATTGCCCCCTGCATTTTGCCCTTTCCCCACAGGGTGGCCAGGAGGCCCAGAGGTTTTGGGGAGCAGGGCCCAGAGCCTATAGAAACTGACCTCTGGGCCTGACCCAGATGTGCCTGGGAGTAGATGTGGCGGAGTGATGGCCCCCAGGTCTCTCTAGTGCTTGGGAAGGGCTCCCCCTGCTGGCTGTTGGAGGCACTTCAGCCCAGATGCCCAGCCCTGCCCTGGGTGGTGACCATGTTCTTATTCATTGGTTCCCTTTTCCCTCCTGCAGCACTTCTCAACTTTCCAAACATTTGTTACTTCCCTCAGTTTACCTCTCAACATAAGGTAGACAGGACAGGAGTTGATATTTCTGAGTTATAGAAAACTCAAAGCAGGTGGTTACAGAATTTGTCCAGGGTCACCCGTCAGCAAAATCTGTGAACAGAAAGTTGCCGAGAAGGAGTTGTCAGAACCCAGCTAAGGAAGGAGCTTTGTTCATGTCCCCCAGGACATGAAGCAAACCAGAATCCAGGTTTGGCAAACAGAGGAGGATCAAGCTGTCAGAGAAAATGAGTCATAGTCCCAGTGGAGTGAGAGTGCACATGAGGCTTCAGGGTGTCTCTGCCTTCCAGAAACTTCCTGGATGCCACCCATAAGTACAACAGACACAGAGGTGGACACTTGGCTCTGCAGGTACTTTGGGCACAGGGTTTCTCTCAAGAGACCAATGGTGGGGGAGTCTCTGAGCACACTGGAGGTGGGGCCTGGAGTGCTCAGTGCCCTAAGCATCACCCTGCCCTCTGCCCCAGCGCCCCGCTGTGGGTTGGCATTTAAAGCCAGCCTGAATCTGCTGAGCCTGGTGCAGGGACTCAGGCATCCTCTTCGCTCCCCCACTGGCCCGTGTCTCCCCCTGTAATCCTGCAGCCTCTCTGGATTCTTTGTTCTCTGTTTGTGAAAGACTGTCAGCTGAGGCCAAGCCAACTCCAGGAGGACAGAATTCTCTTTGCCTTGGAATTTTAATACAATTGAAACTTTGTACCAAGGGATTCAAAAAAAAAAGTTTTATTAGAGTGGAGGTGAGTAAACAAGACAGGGGCTGGTTGCGTCTGCAGTCACCAGGTGACTCCACGCTTTCCCTGCCACCTTCCTCTTCCTATGCTTTCCTTTTGCTAAGAGCAGAGATAGCTGTGGCTCCTGGCACATAATTGGAGCTTTGTAGATTCTGCCTGCTCCCCAGGAGATCCTCCAGCCCCACTCACCAGCCAGAGCAGCCTTTCCCAGGGTCTGGGGTGCCATACATGTCCCACTTTTACCACATGTGGTTTTATGGCTCTTGAGATATGCCCAAGAGATGAATGAGTGATTATTTGCTCTTCATAAAAGGGATCCACGCTTTACAAAAATAAGGACCCCCTCATGGACTCCTTTAACTGGCATTTGAAATAATATGGGCGTTTACCAAAGTGTGATTATACCAAAATGTGATTATTCACTTTTTCAAGGAGCTTGCCAATTGTGGGATAAATGTTTGGGCAAAAGTTCCCTTACCACAAACAACGTCAGTCTTTTAACCATCTGGGACTATCCCTGAGCTCCAGGAAGGGCTGTCAGAGAGATCTGCCTTCACATCCCAGGAGGCCCCCGGTCTCGGCCTCACCGTCCGAAGGGTGTGTGCTCACTGGTGGCCCCAGGCCATCTCCATTCTCTCACCCACTTTCCCAGCCACAGATCTGCAGTGTCCCTGACTAGGGTTGGCTATAGTCCTTGTTCTTAGCCAGGCAGGGATCGGCCCCACGACCTTGACAGTATGCTGTCCTCCTGACAAAGGAAATCAGAAGTCCTGCCTACTTTCCAAGGCTAGTGCACATGCCATCCTTCTACAAGGTCTTCCGTGATCAGTCAGCCAGAAATGACTTCCTGCCACGTTCAGTTCTGAATGGCATTGGGATTGGCTAGTGTTCAGTTATGTCTGTCCTTGGAAAGTCTGTCTTTACATCCCAGGAGGCCCTTGGGTTTAGGCCACAAGTAGGAGGGGACTAAACTGTAGTCATCAAATCCTCCCATCTTATAACCGGGAAAATTCAGGCCTAGTGGCAAAGCAGAGAGACCCCAGATGGCAGAAAACAGCTGCTGCAGCCCTTTCCCACCTTGTTCCTATTGAGGGGCTTAGGCATTCATAGAGATGACCCCATTCCAGAGTGCAGCTGGGCAGTTCCTGTGTAACCAAAAGCAGGACAGGGAGTTTGCCAAGGAAGGACCCAGGTGCTAATATCAGAGAGAGGCATTCTTTGTATTTTCTGTGGAGTTGGGAGACTGGGCGTTGCTTGGCTTACTGTGCAGTGCTCAGTCCTGTCCCAAGGACCGAGGGGATCCAGTTCTCAAGTCCTTGCTCCTCTTGGGCTCCGTGCATCCCACTTCATCAGTGGTATCAAGCCCAGTGGCCACCGTCTCGGCACAGTCCTTTTGCTCTGAATGTGCAGGACTAGGTGTGGGGAGACGAGGAGAGGGCTCTTTGTGGTGGACCGGGAAGCTGTTTTTGATGCCGCAGGGCCAGGCCCCCAGGGGAACTGAAGGAAGTGTTTAGCTTGCAGACACAGGTCTTTCAGTAAAGCTCATCCATCCAGGGATGCAGGATGTAGCTGGTTCCAGGTGATCAAATCCTCCCGTCTTAAAACTGGGGAGTCTCGGGCCTGGTGGCAAAGCAGAGAGACCCCAGGTGGCAGAAAACAGCAGCTGCCCCCTTTTCCCTCCACGTTTATACTAAGGGGCTCAGGTACCCCATAGTGCTACTAGGGTGCTCACAGAGAGTGGGGGGGGGGCAGGAGCTTCCAGGGCTGTCCACCCCTGTCACGCGCCATTGGGAGGGAGGCCGGGACCTGCGATGTCTGAGCAGCCCTTCTGCCCGGTCCCTAGTGACCGAGACACGCAGCTGGCCCGGCTGATGCAGCGGAACAACCTGCACCGCGATGACGCAGAGGCCCGGATCGAGGCCCAGCTGCCCCTGAAGGACAAGGCCCGCGTGGCCCGCCACGTTCTAGACAACTCGGGCGAGTGGAGCGTCACCAAACGCCAGGTGGTCCTCCTGCACGCCGAGCTGGAGCGCTCCCTGGAGTACCTGCCACTGCGGCTCGGGGTCCTCGCGGGGCTGGCCGGCATCGCCAGTCTCCTCTACCTGCTCACCCGCTACCTCCTGCCTTCCCCCTAGCGGGACCCTGCAAGGCAGGGATTCCTGGGTCTCCATCTCCTCAGAGGCTGAAACCGGGTAATGAGTGCGTCCGGTTTCCTCCCAACCCCTCAACACACACACTCTGGATCTGGGCTGGAGCCCTGCACTGGGCCGACCCTTCCTCGGAGCACATCCTGTCCAAGGCAGAGAAGCAGCCCTCTGGCAGCAGATGCTCCTTCCCACCTCTCCCAGCGCCCCTCCCTCTGGAACAGTGTCCGACACGGGCTGTGGAAGCAACAGTGGTAGAGACTCTTGTAACTTTCTTGTGGGCGGGGGTGAGGAGCACCTTCAGTGACAGTCACCAGTGTTTAAAGCTGGGAGGGTCCCTGGGCTTGAACCCTCTCCTAGCACGTGCCCCGTCAACGGCCAAAACCCCCTGCGTGGACCATGGGAAATCAGTTTGGACCAAGGGCTGCCTTCAAGCAGAATTCCCCTGTAGATTGAAGCCCTTGGCCAGGAGGCAGTAACAATTCCCTGTGGGTGATGCTGTAGTGGGGCAGAGGCCAGGCCTCTTCTGGGATGACCCACTGTCCCACCGTGGCATTTCCCTAGCACTCCCCGCACCCTGCTCCCCGCCTCCTTCTACCACTCTACCTCCCTGAGCTCTTGCTAGTCTGCACGAGGTGCACCAGGCTGTTTCTGGCCTCTTTGCCTTCACCTTGCTGCTCCCCAATCTGGAAAACCTTTTTTTTTTT